GTTTTAAGGAACCACAAGAAAAAAAAAATCTTTTAATTTTTTTTTAAATGCTACATAATTGTAACTACCTAYATTAAATTATAAGAATAATGTGAGTAGAAACGTAAAATCATTATTTTTAAAATATTTAACATAGCTATAGTAAATTTAACATTTAAAAAAATTTAAAGAATTTTTGTTGTSTWATGTGCTCTTTTAAACTAACTTTGCCGTCTGTCAAAAATAAATAAATAAATCATAAAATGTATTAAATTTTATGATTTGGTTGGAGGTGTCCAATTTAATTTTTTTGGGTTGATATGAACCTTTTTTAACTTTATTTTTCTCTGCATATGAGCATCTACAATATCCCAGTTAATACATATTGTAGTTGTGTTAAATATTTCCACAACAAAKTTCAGAGAATTTAAGGTATTGATGATGTCTTGTGCCATTAAACCTGAATTAAATGTGTTACTATTTTATAATTATCTCACGAAATACAGATGAAAAAGTTTTAAATTACCTGTTTTACTGATAACATGATTGATACATGTATTGGCATTATTTGTGTATTTATCTAAATATTCCAATATAACACTTTTCCAATATGAATTGTACAACTTTTGACCAAAGTCGGTAAGGGGTGTTTCTGGTGTTCCAGGCTGTTTTTCGATTTTAGATAAGAGATAACCTAAAAAGATTGATAACACGTGATATCTGTTTAAACAACTGCCTGGTTTCGTATAGTTTTCACTTACTGAATTCAATTAGAAGTCGCCCGTACCCTTTTCTTTGATATTGTGGCATGACCATGATGCAAGCCACGTTAAAATTGTTCTCCCTRTGTTTCGATTTTGAAAAATAACCAACTAAATGGCTACCCTTAACATTTTTAATGAAAAATTGTTACAATAGTATAGGTATAACTTTATAAAATACAATACAAAATAAATATATATACTTACGGCAAAATCATTTTTTGTCAGAATATAAAAACGGAACGGTTCAACGCCATAATCCAGAGTTTTAACATCCAAAAATAGTTTTCCAATTCGACATAATGTTTCGCAATATATTTTGTGATTACTTCCATCAACCTGTAGGAAAAAAATGTGAACAACTTTATAGTTTACCTCTTATGAATTGTTTAAAAAATATTGATTAACTTCAAAAATGCTYAGACATTCGTTTCGGTAGATTTCAGTTCCTGGCGGTGTTCTCCAATTACAATATCGCATATGTCTTCTCATAACCGATTGGCACTGAGTATATTTCAAACAATATTCACAAAAAAT